TCAGTAATGCTGCTCTAATCTAGTGGATGCTCTCTCTGGGACACCCAAACAATATAAACAGGCACAGGTTTTTCTCTGTTTTTCTCATACTCCTCTGAAAAGTTGTTTCAGGTCATCCATTAAACGTGGAACATCATTTGTATTCCACATAGTACCATCAAACTGCATTTTTAAGCATAACAGATAATTCTTCCGGTTTCATTTTCCAGTCACATCCAGTGAGTTTGACAATGAAATTCAAATTAAATATTTACTGGTTGACAAGAAGTTTTTCTTTGGCTCATCTGGTACAGAGGAAACTCAGTCAAATGAATGTTCTAGAAACCAGTTTGTGAAAGCTTGAGAGACTCTGAGTCAGAGTTTGCCTTCTCTGGACAGGAGGCTGCCTCTGAGAAGAATTTTGAGATTTGGTGTTGGTCAGGTGTCCATTCTGCCACCCAACAAGCTGTGAGGGGATGGGGTGACAGTGGAGAACTAGGAACTTGAATCCTTTCTGCAGAGTGGATTTGCTTCCTGTGCTGATCCAAGGGGCTATACCCAGGAGGAGGCAGCCAGGAGGCCGTTGAAAACTTCTGATTAAAAGCCAGATTTTTTATGAAAATTATCCCTTTGGTAGAAGTTATCAGACAGGCCAAGGTAACCTGGGCCTTAATCAAAACAGTAGTTCGTTGCATTGAGGTATTTCAATTATTATCACTGCTATAAAAAAAAATGAGTCATTTGAGTCGTTATCTCTCCGAGATACATTGTCCCCGTTCAACAAGGTACATTGGATTGCTGTAAAGCAAAAGATAATTTTATTCTGTGGCAAAGCTTAATGGCTTTTTTTGTTTGCTTTGGAGTGGGGGTTTTTTGGTGGTGGTGGTGGCCTTTTTACCTTGTGTCATTGACATCCTTCATGTAGCAACATAAAGGACACATCCTCTGTAGCACTGAAAGCTTTTTTTCCCAATAGTACCAGAAGAGACCTTTACCCAAAAGTAGAGCTAAAAAGGAGAAAAATGGATCATGAATTGTACTTACAAACAAGTTTGCAAAGCTCACTGTCTAAGGCAGTGGTTCTACTTCAAATGGGGTCATCATATCAACTCCACATCATCAAATTAAGTCTGAGGTGAAAAGACAAAGTGCTTTTTTTATTGTGGTTTTGCTTTAAGGATTGTTTTTTCTGCCTTGGTCAGCATGGGTTTGTAGTGGACTGACTTCTTCAAGGCAAATCAAAACTGGCCCAATGTGTGTCCAAATTTCCAAAGTATTGATGACTCCTCTCCAATGAATTTTAGCCTAGTCAGTCTTTGGAACTTCCTTTCCTCCACCATCAGTTACAGGAGAGCACACAGGGACAAGCCTAAAGGTAAAATCAATGAGAATTTTACTTAGAAAGTTTTTAAGTCGAATAGAATTCTAAGTAGAACAGAAATGACAGACATGTCAACAATTGCTAAACAGTTGGGGGTTTTCTAACACATTATTCAATTTAGGTAGGGCAGAAATAGCTCCATGACTGCAAATGTTTTTTGTGTGGGAGTGCTGAGAAAGACATTCATTGAAAATAAAAATAAATGAGTATTTCAGGACAAGTAAAGTCTGACTTTGAAATGTTTGGACTAAACAACAGATGTTGAGGTTGCTGCAGATCAGGAATAACGAGAAAAATCACTGATTGGTGACTTCCCTCTGGTCCTTTGCACTGATATGCTTTAAACCCAAGTGTCTTGCTGGTTTTATTTAACTCTCCTTTCAAGTATCTCCTTTAAGTCTCTCCTTTTTCTCTTTTCTAAAAATGACTTTGAGGGAAATATATCCAGGGAAGTTATTACAAATAAATGCCACCTTTAATCTGATTTTAGCCTTTCTTAAGGTTTTCTTCCTTCTGCCATGCATGGGAATGACTTATGGGAGCTCAAATGCTGACTTTCCCTCAGTAAACTGTTTGGATAATTTACAGGGAGTAGTACAGTAAGGACAATAAGGTACTAAAATAGTAGTATTTCAACAATAGGTTCTCCATCAAGACCACCTGTAAGCTTGCAGTAAGTTGGCATCAAGTCTTCAGTAGAGAGTAGATGTGTTGTGCTCTGTAATTTTAAAACAAAACAAAACATAAAATCAAAGGAACCAGGAATGACAGGGGAGGAAGTTAATTGTTACCAATCAAATGGTGCTGTGGTGGACTGGGATGGCAAGCAGAGGATGCAGGACAATGTGGACAGGAGGCCTCGTGGGGTGGAAGGGGGATCACATCCAGCACATGGGCCTGAAACACTGATCTTATAAAATGATGATAAACTGTGTTACTGATGTAGTCGAGAAATGAAACACTTGTTATTTTTGAGGAAAATCAGTCCCCAAAAATTCCAGCCAATCTTTGCATAGATGCTGGAATTCCAAGAGTGTAGCTGTTTTTTTCTAGATCTGATCTGTATTTGTGCAAATAGTTATAACTATTTTCATCAGTCCTGTGACTCTCCTATGCACTGAAATCACTTCAAAATCAAAAATTTGTGTAAGATTTAACCTGAGTTACTTTTACAAACACAAAAATAATATTTTTTTATATTTTTAAATATCACTTCAAGGGCTGCCTACTTAGGAACTGAAATATGTAGCTAAACATGTAAAATCTATTTCAGGATGTGTTCATTTGGGCTAAGCGTGTCATGTAATGAAAAGCAATCCTTTTATTATTGTTATTTTAATTATCTTCATTATCATTAATTTTAATCTCTCATTCATAGACACTGTACACTTAGTCATTGTCTGTTAGCACTTATAAACAGCAAGACCTTAGCTGCCTTTAAATTAAAATTGCTTCCTAGTTAGTGCTTATTGCACAGGAACAAAATGTTACATTTTATTATGTTCTCAACAGGACCTGTAAGGCTCAGTTGGAGATAGGCAATAAACACTGCAGCATTCTCATAAATCACAATTTTGCATATAATTACTGTAAGCATATAAAAGTAAAATTTCAGTTATTCCCCTGTCACCAGCCAGCTCTGGTCCAGGAATTGATTCAGCCTCCACTGCAGAGTCCCCACGACACCATTTGTTCCAGCAGCTCAGATTTCCCTCATTTCCATGCTGTGAACAGTTCACACCATTTTACATATTAAGTCTGCATCTGACATTATGTGGTAGAGAAAATCCAGTCCCTCCCTTATGGCCTAGATCACTCTAGACCACTTCACTCCCTTATGGCCTAGATCACTTCATGGCATCCTCCCTGGAAAACCTCTGTTTTCCATAAGATCCCTATATATATATATGTATATATATTTTATTTTTTTTTAATCAGTTTGTTGTCCAGTCAGTATTTCTACTACAGCAAAGTGGCCTTACAGCTGCTGAAGTTGTGCTGAAGAACAGGATGTAACAAAATCGGCGGGTGTTTATTTACGAATTGGGCAAATGTGTATTTATGAAATGGACAAGTGTGTGTTTATGAATTGGACAAGTGTGTGTTTATGAAATGGGCAAATGTGTACTTATGAAAGGGACAAGTGTGTGTTTATGAATGGGACAACTGTGTCAATGGCAGTAGAAAGACATTGAGCTCCCTGAAAGAGGTTCTCTTGTTCAAAGCCTACCAATCTGGTCTTTGGTTATGTTTTGTGATCAAAAGCTTGGTAATTTTTTTCTCAGTAGAAAACGTGAAGATCAAATATGAGAAACTATAAAAGAGCTGCTTAGGTTGTACTAAGATGAATCAGTAAATTAATAAAAAACCTGACACATGTCATTGTAGGTTATGACAAGGAACTTTAAGGTGTAAGTCACAGCTAACCTGAATTTGTCAAGATAAAAAGTCATGCCAAACCAGTCTAACTGCCTTCTCCTCGGCAGGGCACCATCACCATCACAACAGCACAGCAGTGAGTGCCCAGAGAGGGCTGTGGGACCGCAGGGGCTGTGGGGACAGACTTCAAACCTTGTGAGTTTGGAGGTGGAAATGAGGGCACAAAGGTAAGGTCTCACCTGGAACACAGTCTTCAGGCGCTGTTCTTCAGAGGCTGAACTCTCCAAATAAATCATCTGTGTCTCCTCTCATATATATATATATGTATATGTGTGTATATATACAAATATACGTATAAATATAGATTTATTTATTTATTTTTATATGTAAGTAATAAGAGTAACAAACACTTAGAATAGATTTTCAGGAAGGTTCTGGTATCTTCGTCACTGCAGTTTCAAAGAAAAGTCAGACCAAGAGCTGATATATATATTTATACACATGTGTGTGTGTGTGTGTGTATACATATATATAGATAGATACATATATACATACATACATCAAATAAGAGGAGTAGCAAACACCTAGAATAGATTTGCAGGAAGGTTCTGGTATTTCTGTCACTGTAATTTTAAAGCAAAATCAGACCGAGACCTGAGATAGATAGATAGATAGATAGATAGATAGATAGATAGATATGTATATATATATGTGTGTGTGTGTATACATACAAACACACACACATATATAGATATATATAGAGAGAGAGATTAACAACAGTAGCCAAAGTCTAGAATAGATTTTCAGGAAGGTTCTGGTATCTCTGCCACTGTAATTTCAAAACAAAGTCAGACCAAGAGCTGACACTGATATATATACATATATGTGTGTGTGTGTGTATACATACATAACACAGCAAGAGCAGCCAACACCTAGAACAGATTTGCAGGAGGGTTCTGGTATCTCTGCCGCTGCAGTTTCAGAGCAAAGCCAGACCAAGAGCCGGCAGTGCCTGTCAGTCCCTGAGCCGGGGACGTTCCCTGGTGTGTGTCCCCCGCCCGGGGCCGGCACTGGCGGCTCCTGCAGCCGCAGGAGGGGTGAGACCAGCGGGGACACCGAGGCTGAGGGGCCGCCGGTGCCCCCAGAGCCGCCATCGGCCCGGCCGCGCCCTCAGCGCTTCCCCCTCAGCGCTTCCCCCTCAGCGCTTCCCCCTCAGCGCTTCCCCCTCAGCGCTTCCCCCTCAGCGCTTCCCCCTCAGCGCTTCCCCCTCAGCGCTTCCCTCCGAGCCCCCTCAGCGCTTCCCGCCTTCCCGGCCCGTCCCTGCCCGCGGGCTGAGGAGCCGCCCGGGACCCCCAGAGCCGCCCGGGACCCCCAGAGCCGCCCGTTCCCCGTTAGGAAGCAGGAGCGAAGGCATTCGCTGCGTGTGCCGAGGTACAGAGCCAGCCCTGCCCCTCGCCGGGGTGCCGCTGCTCACACCCAGCCCATGGCCCGGTTATCGAGCGTGGCGGTTCCCGCAGGGGGGAAGGACAAAGATGCTCGTTCCGCTGGCACAGCGCTGGGCAGATCGTTCTGGGTACCCCCGAGCTGCCTCCGCCTTCCAGTGCGGGTATTCCCTGGCAGGTGTGGGAGTCTCCCTCCCCTGTCCTTGCTCCCCTCCCAAACCCTCCGCTGGGATCGGGAAGCTTCCCCCGAGGTGAATCCCAACCTCAGCCGAGCCTTCAGTGGTGCACCCACGCACCGGGCGCTTCAGGCTGTAGACTTGTACCAGTTTAACATTATCCCGTTCCTACAAAATTAATGAAACGTTTGAATTATTCACCGTTCACTTTCACAGAGCGAGCGAAAGCGGGGGGGCTTTGCTCTGGGGGAGTTTAGGGGGAGTCGAGCGATGCTTTTCAGGCGCAGGATTTTACATTCTTCTTAAACAAAAGTGCGTAGCTCTGCTTTTCAGAGCTCCAGGTTTGAATTTGGATTGAAAATCTTGTGATGGTACCAAATAGCTTCATAGCACAGGCAGCTCTCGAAGCTGAGAAACCAGAAATTAAATTGAAATTCATAATCCAAACCCTTGTTATATGTGGAATCTCAGTGCCTATGTATATACATACATATACATATATATATACATATATATATATATAAATCCTAACCCTTGTTGTACGGGAATCTCAGTGGTCTCAGTCTGCACAAGCCAGATATTTTGAAAACTTGGTGACCCAAAAAAAACAATTAACACCCCCCACACACACACAAAAACCCCCACCCAAACAAACAAAACCGAAACAAAACAAAAACAACAAAAAAAAAGCCCTCCCCCCAAAAAACCAAACAACCAACAAGAACAACAGAAATTCCTTGTATTTTGCAGTAGTGTCACTGAGGTAACAGATCAGCAGAGTTCTGTATTTGACAATACAGGCAAAAGAATCTTAAGCCATACTTCTCTCTCTTTTTCTGTTTCAACATTAATCACTAGCAAGCAAAGAAGTCATTATCTCAGCTGTATGATTAAATCTTAATATATCTACTAAAAAGGCGTAACAGTACTCTAGACATTTCTCATTTTGATGCAAAAAAACCGAATGCACATCTTCTGAAAAGCCGTGTTCCCACAAAGGAAAGCGATTTGTTACACAGGAAGGATGGTGCCAGTGTCTCTGTAAGGGCAGTGCTGCAAACCTTTTTCTACTGAGGTGATGAGCACCAAGTTTCCTCTGTCTTAAACTGCCCTGATGTGGTATTTAACATAAATTAAGTGTTTCAGCCTCCTTTTTTGATGCCAGGGCCAGCCTCTGAGAGCCTCGAAGGATGATTCTCTGGATTAAAAAAAAAAAAAAGGCTTTAATTCCATTAAGCTTTTTGTAAAACTTTGCATTGCAAATTAGGACAAGATGTTGCAGACCTGAAAGCCTTCACTATTTCATTTCAAAAAGTGTTAAATGAGAGCATTTCAAACATTTGTGAAATGAGATGCCGTTTCTGAGCTCCAGGCTTAGTTATTTCACAGACTCCTTCTGTAAAGTCTTAAAGTTAAACAAGTTTGGAGAAGCCTTGAGAGCTGGACCTTCTGTGGCAATCCACAGGACTGGAGAAATCAAATATGACTGTATTTATCAATTTATTTTCCTTTTCAGAGAAATATATTCAGATAGCCATAAAATGTGTGCGTTGTGTTTATAAGCAATAATACAAGTCTCAATATAGGACTGCAGGATACAAATGCAGTATTTCATAAAGTGGTTAATGATGGTAATAGTTTAATCTCATTGGGGTGAGGATATGAGGGAAAGTAGAATGTGCATGTTCATTGGAAGTGACATGGCACATTTGGCAGAATTATAATGGAGAGAACAAGACACTGCTGTCCAAAAGCACAGAGGTACACTGAAAGGCAGTGCAAGAAATCTGCTTGATCTTGTGGGGTTGCCTTCAGCTGGACTGCTTGAAGTTACGTCTGTCTGTGATGGAAGGGAGGAAAAACAGATGTATCTGGGCAAGTTGTGCTCGACTTCTGAGCTGTTTGGGTCTTTTGTATTGGGGGAAGTGGAGTTTTATGACATATATAATAAGTTTTTCCTTCTACCATTAACAGTGGCTTAGATTTGCAGGGTTCCTGAAATATTTACGTGTAGATGTTGGGCCTACATTTGTTTCTCAGGGTGAATGCAGCAGTATTTTCACTGCTGGTAGCCAAAAGGCCTTTTTGATTTCCTGCCACTCCTGGGGTTCTAAACAGATTTCTTCATGAAGAAGTCTTTATGTGTGACAACTCACAGAGAACAAACCTGAGCTGTAGTTTTTGTCTGTTCAGAAAAATGTAAAATTATAGAAAATATGTGCTTTTCAATTAGATGAAGATGGGGGGCTAATCTTGATGGTTTTTCCTCCTTTTTCAGCCACTAACATATCTTTCCTTGTCCCAAGTGAGCATAAATTTCAGCAATCTATTTAATCCACCATGTTTTAATCCTTTCTTCTCTTCTTCCTTTTCTCCTTTTCTCTCCCCTGTGATAAAGGCAAGTACAACCACACTCTAAAAGTGAACAAGCTCTTGAGATTAAAACTTGAAAACTGGAGTTTATAAGCACTAAAAGAATAATGATACAGTCTTATGATTGTGATGGAATAATTATTGGGAAAGAGTGCAAAGGCAAAAAAAAAAAAAAGGTTGAGACATCACCTGGAAAGCACAAAGCTTTAATATTTTGGCTTTAAAAGGAGTTTCTGTGTGTAAGACTTGAGATTTCCTATGGAATTCTTTCAGAACAAGTATTTAGTTTTAATTAGCAGGGTGGTATCTTGGTTAATGGCATTCCTTGGATTCTTCAGTGGCTGTGAAATGCTGAGGCCTTATTAAGGAAGAACATGGAGAAAAAAGGAGCCAGAGGAGATGAACACACTTTCCCAATTCCCAAAACTGAATGTTCCAAGGATGTGTGTTCATGGTTTTCAACTTGAAAATGTGCTGTTAGTGGAAAGAGCACAAAGAGTGTTTATGGGAATGCAGTGGGGCATTCAGGGGTGTAGCTGATCCCAGGTTGGGGCTGTGCTGCCACCAGCATCACTCTGAGCTCTGCCACAGCTCTGCAGCTCCTTGGGCTCACTCCTGCTGCTCTGGCTTGTTTTGGCACTGGCTTGGCCACAACTGCTTCATGCTTCCGTGAATTTATCAAAAAATAAGTAGAAGTTCAGAAAAATAAGTAGAAGATATTTCTAAGCCAACGTAAAAGTGCTGTGCTTGGAGATGCAACAGTGATTCAGCCCATACTTTCAACTAATTTAGCTGCTTAACAATTCTTGTGTAACTACAGTCCTGGTTTGGAGAATGGAGGATATTCAGTGTGAAGCAGAGTCCTGGTAATGCAAGGTGTAAATACCTTGTCTGCTCTTTATACATGAAATACATGTAGAATATGTAATAAGCTACATGGGGTCAGGCTGGTGGCACATCCAGCTCAGTGTCCTGCCTCCAGCAGTGGCCAAAAGTGATCAAGGGAAAAGCAGAAATTCAGCAGTGTCCTTAGATATCCTAAAGGAGCCCACATTAAATATGCAAAATACTAAACCCCCTCTAATAGCCCTCCATAAATCTAAACTAACTCCGTGCTCAGCTGACTCCCAGTTACTGGTAATGCAAATATTGATAGAATTCAAAACTACTGGCATCTGGAATTAGCAGATTCATCTGATTAAATGAATAATAAATCATCTCATGTTACTTCTAACAGTAACACATTCAGTATTTGCATATGCTGTGAATGAGGGTTGTCAAAGACATGCAAACTAGAGGCTGAGAAATAAAGCTTCTAGATAAATAGAGATTTTGAAATATAAAAGGCTATATAGACTTGGTCTTTGCTGACACCCAAACTGCATTTACCCATTTTTCTGTTTAGTTCCCCCCCCAAAAAAAGCTTTTAGGGAAAACCTTCTCAGACAGTTCATAGAGAACTTCCAGTATCACATTCCCTTAATCCTCAGAACAAAGTTGTATCACGCAAGAGATCTAATTCTTATGCTGTGTATACACTCAAAATACACACTGTAAACTGAATAAATAGCTCTATAAAAAGCTGCAAGAGGTCATGGATGGCACTCTGCTCTTAAAAGGGGCCATGTCTAATCTTCTTGTATTTTCACAGGTAAATATTATATTCTATGGTTTATAATTTTGAAACAGTTCAAAAGAATTTAGTCACAGTAAATTCCAGTGAGAGAGAACAGCCTAAATGCTCAAAAACACCAGTTCTACACAGTTACATTTTTGCCTCTGCAGTGCTATTTGTAGCAACTGTGTTGGAGGTCTCTGGAATGTGTTCATGTGGGAATCCAGTCCTAGAAACAGAATTTTAAAATTAATTTTGATACTTGAAAAATGCTGTGACTTCTTCTGAGGGAAAGTAGCATAAACAGAAAGTAAATATTAAAAGGAAAAATACAGCAACAAGTATCTGTATCTAAAGCCTTGTTTGGCTTGTTTATGTCTTCCCACCTGCACATTTAAATCCAATAAACAGTCTGCCCTCCTAGTGTGAAGCTCATCTCCCCTATTTCCTCGCATACTTGCACTTCCAGAAGCATTTTGAAATTACCAAATTATTAAAACTCAACAGTGGGTTAATTAGGATTGTTACAAGAACATTAGCTACAGGTACAAACCCAATTATTTCATTAAAAAGACTATTCTTTTATGCTCATAGCTAAATAAATCCTACTTGATTCCTTATGCCTAAATCAAGCTAGTCCTGTGCTGTGGCTGCATTCTTCATTTTCTGAACTAAAGCTGGAACTAATTTGCCAAAGTGGGATTTTCAATACATTAAGCACTTAAAATCCATAGCAACGGGCGAAAAGAGAATACATTTTAAATTCTTTTTTTGGGGACTTTAACTGAAAAATAAAATAGTACATAACCTATTGAAATAGTCTAA